GTTACTCCAAATGATTCTCTGTCCACCTGGAAACATCGCCAGCCCATCCAGTCCTTCCTCCCTTAGCCCATTTCCTAATTCCAACAAACATTTCCTAACTGTCGCCTCTGGGCCATGCCCTGTGGTTGGTATTTGGAAATAGAGAGAAATCAGACATACTCTGCCCTGAAGGAATTCTTAGTGTGGTGTGTGTTGTAGGGAGGAGGGGGAGAGAGGAAGAGACATAGAAACTAGCAGTCCTGATAAAGTGTAATGAATACCATTGCAGGGGGCATACAGAGGGCTGGGCATGGGGGACTCAGGGAGTTGTTAGGGACTCAGACCCTTTCCTTTTGATGCTATGGCCTCTTGAGGGTTCTGGGCTAATAGAGAAAAGACAAAACTCGTTCCTAGTAATTTTTATAAAATTAGGAGAAGAAGGAAATATGACATCTCAAGTTTATGTCAGAGAGAGTTGGTAGGAATCATGGAAACTTCTTCCCAGTGTTCATGATAAGCTTTTGCTGTTCATCTTTTCCAGAGTCATATTTCTTACAGCATTTGTGTTTCCTCTGAACACTTCCCAACTGGCTCAGACTTTCTGAAGATAAGGATGCCATCTCCGTCTTGGCAATCTCGAGTCGTCTGGCTTTTTAAAAGACAACTTAGACCAGAGATTCTCCAACTGTGGCCTGCAGACCACCTGCATCAAAATCACCTAGGATGCTTGTTCAAAATGACCAAAAGTCTAGCTCTCACCCTCACTCCAGACCTGCTGATTCTGAAATTTTGGAGGTGTGAGTGGAATATGCATCTTACATAAACATCCCAGGTGATTCTGATGCAGGGTAAAACACGAAGGATTTGGGAGCCCCACGAGATCATCCTAAATCCATCATCAAGGCCAAGTTTTCAATGCCAGAAGTGTAGGGAGTGGGGGCACTAATGCCCCCAGAGGACTTTTAAAAGTGTCAGAGTTCTTTCAGGTTTGTCACAGTGACTGAGAGTTACATAGAAGACAGAGGCTAGGTATGTTAAATATCTTACAATGAACAGGACAATCCTGCTCAACCCAGAACTCTCATGCCCCATGTGCCAGTAGCACCATTAAATCATGCTGATTAGTAACTAAAAGAAAATCTCTGGATATCTGGCCATTCAAGCTATTCCACCATAAATAACTGTCATACCCCTCTTGCCATATAAAGGTTGGGATAAATTCTACTTGTTTACAGCATTCTGTGTAACAGTCTTGTTTATGGCATTCTGTGTGATATTAAAAGCCTTATGACTCTTGTACTAGTCCTTAAATGTGAGTAGAAATTTTCTAGGTGTAATGGAAGATGTTTTGGACAGAGAAAATACCTTCTTCCATTTTGCCCTGACTTTCTACCATGTCATTGTGGTTTCTGAGGTTTGTGGTTACTCAGTTTCATGATATGTGTGGCGATGGTCTTGATCATGATTTCATCAGCTGTCAGTTTTTCTGCAGTCCTCGGAGAGAGAAAGGGGTAGAGAGGTGGTGTTTGTGTGTGTGTGGTTTGGCTACATGCCAGATAGAAAGCTATTTGACTCATTCTTTCAGGATCCAATGCCTTTGACAATTTCAGTTTCCCTTCCCATTGGCGAAATGCTGAAAATATTCCAGTGTAGGTTGAATCTGGGTGTGGGAGTGATTACAAAGTCTCCAAAGAAAGCTGTCAAGAGAGGAAAATGAGTTTTGATGAAGAGAAAGTGGATTTGGATATGAGATCTGAAAGGGGGACCATAACTCTTACTTTAGGCACTCCCAGTCCAATGGAGAAAACATGATTCATACCCTGAAAGACTCCTAGATAGATTAGTATAGGCTTGAGGGCAGAAGCATGCCCAAAACAAGAATATGCATCCCCAAAAGCAAACAGATAAAGCACATATGCATTGTTAGATCAGTCCTCTGTACACTAAAGGGTCTGGAACATACCGCCCTGGAATAAAAGGCAAATATCAGGGATAGTTATGGGAGCTGTGTCAGTTTGTTATCACTGTGTAACAAACTACCCCAAAACTCAGTGCCTTAAAACATGAATCATTTATTATAGCTCATAAGTCAGTGAATCAGCTAGGGCTTGGCTGATCTTGGCTAGACTTGCTCTTGTATCTACAGGTCAGCTGGGACTCTGCTCTAGGCTGGGCTTGGCTGAGTCACCTTGGCTGGAGCATCTCTGCTCCATGTGTCTCTCATACTCTTGGGGACAGTGGGCTAGTTGGGTGTGCCATTCTCATGGCAATGAAAGAAATGCAAGAGAGCAATGAAGAAATGCAAGCCTAACCTCACAGGTACTTTTACTTGATGCTCTGCATATGTTATGCGTGCTAATATCCCACCAGCCAAAGTGAGCCACATGGCTGAACCCAGTGGCAAGGTTGGAGGGCCCTGAGAAATTACATGGTCAGAGCGTACCGAGTTTTTGTTTAGGGTGATATAAAGCTTTTGGAAATAGGTAGAGGTGATGGTAGCACAACTTGGTGAATGTAATTGATGTCACCAAATTGTACACTTAAAAATTGTGAAGGTGGTAAACTTGTTATATATATTTCACTACAATAAAATTTTTTAAAAAAGAAAAGAAGTTACATGGCCAAGGGCATAGATTCAGGGATGGATGACAGATTGGGTTCATTAATGTAATCTGTCATACTCCTCCATGAGTTTTCCTCAACCCTCCCTTCCCTCCCAATCTTGAGTCATTGCTCCTTCTTTGATGCTTCTTTGAACCTCTCTCCTCTGGCTTTGAGCATAATCCGTGTTGCTGTAGTGTACATACATGGGGGCAAGGACTGTGTCTATAATCCTATTGCTGAGCAAAGGGTCTGGTACCCAGTAAATGAGAGAGAGAAGAGAGAAAAAGGGAAGAAAGTAGGAACATATATGGCAAAAAAGAGAAAACAGGACAGGCACTTGGGGAGGGGAAGGGAGTGGAGGAGACAGGACAAAAGAGATGTGGATCAGGTGAGTTAGAGGAAGTATCAGTGATCCAGAGTCAACAAAACTGCTTGCTTTATCAGCTTTTCAGAATACTGATCCATCCCTAGTAGTTTAAAGCAGTCATTTCTGCATTGAGAAAGAGGCATTGTGTTTTTCTTTTTCATCTTTAATTGCTGCTTTTTTTCTTGTGGATGCCCTTGCATGAAAGAAGACTTAAATTATAGAAATTTTCTTCATACTCTTAGAAGGAATACTCAATTCACCATCTATGATCTGAGTTTCTTTCACTACCAAGATCTCTCCAGTTATGATACCTTTTTGAGAAATGAAGGCTACCTGACTCTATAATGCATAAAGATTACATTAGAAAGGAGGCTGTAGAGACACACTCTGAAATTCTTTTCTTCAAGTGAAATTATTTTTTCTAGGTGAGGTGGTTCATAGTGCTACACATTCTTTAGGTCCTTTTTAGATCTAAAAATGAGCATAATTCAGCAGTTCTGGGACCAGGCAGTGGCAGGCTTTTTGTGGGAGCTGGAAGCCCCTTGGTGAGCCAGGTTTAGTACTGCTGCAGCTTCCCTGTCTCTGAAGGTAGGCAGGATGCGGATTTCTTGATGAGAAACATGGATATAAAAATTCCCACCTCACAAACTTGTTTGGTAAAAACTCAGGCACACCATGAGGGCATTTCAGGCCCCAAAACCTGCCCCAATCTGAGACTTCTGCCTGGAAGTCCTTCCACTGAGACCCCAAAACCTGGGGGCTGGATTCTGTGAGACCCAGTTAAAATGCATCTGAGCACTCTGAGTAGCATAAGGGCTTGTTCTGGCTCTGCTACCAATTAGCTGTTGAACTTTGAGCCTCAGTTTCTTCATTCATAAAATAACAATCAGAATACCCATGCTTTTTGTGGGTAGAAAAAGGGAAGTACTGGTATATGAGAACTTATAAAATACCTCTTCCATCTGCCTCTAATGTGTATGCCCTCTCCCCTTTTCTCTGCTTTCCTATTTTTTAAAACTGTGCATGTCCATGACATGCTCCTAACACAGAATGCCAGGTGTCATCATAACAAACAAATACAAGAACAAACAATAAGAAAAATGGACTGCTTCTAAATGATTGTTAGTATAAAAATATAATCATTTATTCATCTCAGGTGTCCAGAGTACCTCCAAAGTCCCAGGGTCTGTGTTCTGTGAAGAATCAGCCCTTCATGCATGGATGTGTGAACTTTTATTCCTGTCCCAGACAGCTGAGGAGTAAACATTAATTTATTTGAGAACGCATGGCAAAGTGATGGGAAATCAAGTGCTGGTCCTCACAATGCAAGTCCTGGAAATACACACCTTCCCATATAGCTCTAAGTCCTTAATCGTTGTTGTTGGCTTCCATCCAGTTGGCCTCTGACTTATGGCGACCCCATACACAACGGAATGAAGTGCCGCCAGGATCAAACCGTTGTGATCCATAGAGTTTTCACTGGCTAATTTTCAGAAGTAGATCACCAGGCTTTTCTTCCTTAAGTCTTTGTTGTTGTTAGTTGCCATCAAGTCGATTCCAACTCATGGCCACCCCACATGTACAGAGTAGAACTACTCTATAGGGTTTTCAAGGCTGTGACTTTTCAGAAGTAGATCACCAAGCAAGTCTTCCAAGGTACCTCTGGATAGGTTTGTACAGCCAACCTTGCTACTAGTTGAGTGCTTTAACCATTTGCACTACCCAGGGACTCCTCCTTAAGTCCTTAGAAAATGGTAAACTAATCTAAATGCCTGAAATGGACTGTTAGAAGAAGACATGATGTGGCAGAAAAGGCCCAGCCTTGCCATCTAAGAATTGTGTGAACTTGAGAAAGCCACTTGTCTTTAAGCCCCAGTTTCCTCTTCTGAAAAACAGGATCATACTGTCTGCTTCAAAGGTTGTTGTAAGAATAAAATAAGATCAGGCAAGCTTCTGCTTCATATTCGATGTTCAGAAAATGATAACTGTTAATATGATTTTTTTTTAAAAAAGCACAGACCAGCTGATTACATTCATGAATTATCACTGTGGATGATACAGTCTGTCCTTGATGGAGTCCAGCTCTCAGAAGTCACTAGCCGAGATCCTTTGCCTAGGGAAAAGGGCTCGGAGTGCCCCCTGTACATCGTGATTCCAAAGGTTGTAGATGGCAGGGTTCAGCATGGGTGTGACTACAGTGTACATGATGGTGGCCACGCGACCCTGCTGTGCCTCGTATTGTGATGTGGGCTGGAAATAGACTGCAATGACTGTCCCATAGAAGAGGCCTACCACAGCCAGGTGAGAGCCACAGGTAGACATAGCCCGGAGCCTCCCAGAGGCTGAGGGCAGACAGATGATAGCAGCTGCAATGGCCACATAAGAGGCAAGAATGAGCAAGAAAGGAGTGACCACCACTGCAGCACCCTCAGTGAAGATAAGCAATTGGATGTGGCGGGTATCGGAGCATGAGAGCCTTAAGAGAGGCTGGTGGTCACAGAAGAAGTGGGGCACTTGGTGGGAGGCACAAAAGGACAGGCGGGCCATGAGCAGGATATGCAGGAGAGAGTGGACATGTGATACCAGCCATGCAGTCCCCACCAGGGCTGTGCACATGGTCCAGGACATCCTCGTGGCATAGTGGAAGGGGTGCCGGATGGCCACATAGCGGTCATAGGCCATGACAGCCAGGAGGCAGCTATCAGTTACACCCAGGGCAAAGAAGAAGTACATTTGGTTCAGGCAACCAGCGAAGGAGATGGAGTGGTCATGGGCCAACAAGTCGGCCAACATCTTGGGCACAGTAACAGAGGTAAAACAGAGGTCAGCAAAGGACAGATGGGCCAGCAGGAAGTACATGGGTGCATGAAGGGCTGGACTGGCCCTGATGGTGGCCACAATGAGTCCATTTCCCAGGAGGCCTGCCACATACAAGACCAAGAACAGCATAAAGAGGGGCCGCTGCTGTCCAGGACTTGTCGTCAGTCCCAATAGGATGAATGGGGCTCCCTCTGAAGACTCGTTGGCAGCATCCATGGCCAGGTGGTTCTTTGCCTGGAACCCCAGGGTATTCCTTTCTACTGATGGATCATCTCCCCAGTGTCTAAGGACAAAGGTGAGGGGCAACTACATTGCTCAAGGCTTCTTGGCTATGAAAAAAATCGTAGGTTTGAAGTCAGACAGACCTGGATTTAAATACTGGCTCTGCACTGTAGGGGAGCCAGTTCACCTCTCGGAACCTTTATCCTCTCTGGGTCTTAGGTTCCCCATCTATAAAATAAGGAGGTTGATCTAGGTGATCTTCAAGGTCATTTCCAAGTTTGATACTTTGTGATTTTAAGCAAAAAACAAACAAACTTAAAAACAGAACAAAAGAATCTGGATGATTCCCATTATCTCTGGAAACCTTTTCTCATGAAATCAAACACTTACTGAGCACCAAGCAAATGCACACCCCTTTGTCAGAAACTCATGTGAATAGGCAGACACACCTGCCAAAGGCACAGAGACTTAACTCATAGGACAGAGACAAATTGTTTCATTGCCTCCATTTTTTCCTGTATGAATCCCATTGCAGAAATCTTGGACAATGCTCTAAGAGGGCGTTTTAAAAGGGAAGGGATTTTAGGGAACAGGCTTAGGAGCTTTGCTGTGGACTATGCTGAGACTGTCCCTGCAGGGGAATGGCCCTCTAATTTCTTTCTTTGTCGTTCTTTATTAAAAAGAATTAAAAAGTCAAGTGAAGGACCTTCCTACCCTAGTGTTTTCCTTTCTTTCCTCAACTGGTTAAGAAGAATCTCTTGGCTTTTGCTCCCTGTGGAGCATCTTTGCTCTGACTCCCATCATGTCCCACCTTCCAGGAGCAGAAGGATGAGTGGGTACAGTAGAGGTGGAAAACCTGTTTATAAAATTGCTTTTGGAAACTGAACCAGTTCTTAAACTCATGTCTAAGTTAGTCCCAATAAACATTCAAACTTACTGCACCGTTTGCAGAGACCCTCATATATAGTCACAAACACAAAAGTGCAGGCATGCAGATGTGTGCTGCTCAAGCTAGTCCCTGAAAATACATAGGCATGATCAATCATATACAGAAATGTGGACCTAGCACATGCATTCACACTTAAGTAGGCACACAGACGAGCATCACCACAGAGACTACAGACCTAGATAATTGTGCACAGAAACACACGATCAAATGCAATCACACATTGCACGGAGGCCAGAGGGTGACAGTCATTCACATACTCCTGTTCATGGAGGCATATACCACCATGCACAGCTACTGTGACCATCATGCACATTCATGCTTTCATTGACCACCTACTCTGCGGTAAGGTGCCCGTTCATGCACACCCAGTCATACCTAATCACATCACTGATCACACATTCACATCCTCATACACAGTCTCAGGGTCCCATGGCCTCACACCTTCTCACACATGGCTACACTCACATAGGCTCGTGATGGATCACAGCAGAGATGCCCTATTCTAGAGGGGCACATCCACATACACACTGTCCCCCCACAGTGATACCATCATGCAGTGATAGTGATGCAAAATCACAGCCTGACATGAAGCACACGTGCTCTCATACTTACACTTTTGACTCATGCACACAGTCACTAAGTCACACACACTAAGACAGATCTGCATACTCTCCAGCCTGGTCCCTTGCCTCTCAGTGTACCCTCTGGCCTCTCCACATCACAGGGGCGCACAGCAGCAGGGAGCCAGGTGTATCCTGTTACTGGAGGGTCTGAGGAGTGAGTTATTGGCCAATTATGGGGTTTGGGACCTTGGGAGCACCTTTGCCTCTCTCCAAAGGCAACCCTTCCCCTGGCCCTTGTCCCTGGGGCAGGAGGCAGCTCAGCCCTGGGACTTATTATCCTTCTTCTCTAGAGTCCAGTTTGATGGGGTAAGGGATGGTTGGTGGCTGCCTCCAACTCTGGGGACTAGTTTTTGTGGTGTAGGAGAGGCACTTACGAGCCCCATGCACAGAGAAGCTGCTGCTCCCCAGTCCCTTATCTTATGGAGGGCCAGAGAGAAGCATCTGACTGACTCCTGAATCCTAAGCAGAGTGACCAGGGCCAAGGGCAGGAGAGTCCAGGGTTTACAGGATTAGCTTTTGGAGCCAACCCTCTTGTCCCCTCAGCTGTTGCCTGATGACTTCTTGTAGCAAGTGTAGGAGTGTATGAGGGATTATGTCTGTGGTGATGTCAGTGGTGTGAGTGTGTGTGTGTGAAAGTGTGTGTAGCATTGTATGTCTGGGTGTGGAGAGAGTGATTGTGTCTCTCTGCAACTGTTTATTTCTGTGAGCTTGTGTCTGAGTGTGCAACTGTATCTGAGTCTCTATGAGAATGTGCATGAGTGTTTCTAATAGGAGATAGGGTCTGTGTTTGCTGGAGTATGTGTTGCTTGGTGTGTACTGTGGTCTGAGAGAATTTTGCCTCTGTATAGCTCTCCAGGCAGGAATGGATTTATATGATTCAGTGTCAGAACAATCATAAAGGAGGATTTTAAACATATGAACTTTGAAAGATTCTCTGTTGTCTATTGAATAAAGTCCAGATTCTCCTACCTGATCTCTTAAGCCACGGAGTATCCTTCCCATTCCCAGATCTCCATCCTCAAAGTTCCCTTCACTTCTTCTCCAACACTCTGTAGTTAAATTGGTGTCCTTAGAGTCTCCTGCATGCACCAAACTCATTTTACTTCTGTGCTTTTGTGTCCATTCGTCCTTCCCTCTGAAATGTCCTTTTCTACTTATCAAAACCCAACTCAGGTTTAAGGGCCCAACTCATTTTGTGTAATAAGTGTTGCAAATCAAACCCTCAGACTTCCCCACCCCAAACCTGCTCCTGCCCTGACTGCCTGTCTTAGTAAATGGTGCTGACAGAGGTATAAAAGGGAAATACTTTATCAGAATTGGGCAACTTTTACTGGGCATCTCCTTTTAAGGGCAAGGATCTGTTTCCCTTCCTTCATTCTCCAGGTTGGGCTATGTTATTGTCTTCCAATCCCTCTCCCTCTCCTCTTGTTTGTTTTATATTAAACTGGCCTAACATAGTCACTTGCAACCTCGCCTTTCCTCTAGCTGATTTGTAGGATTTATGTAATTATTGTGTCTGGCTGATCCACTGTTGTAACCATTTGGACAGACACATGGACATCCTACAGGATATGGCCCCTCTGGAAATTTTCCCCTGATCACGGTGGGTGCGCTATGTCATGAAAGCCCAAGAACTCAACGGAAGAAAAGATTATAGAGGAGGTCTTTGAGTGTAAACATCATTGAATAGGGGGCAAACCTCACATTCATAGTCTTATAATTGTCAACTTTTCTGATAATGCCTCTGATTCTTGTCATAGCATGCAAGTTGTTATGGTGATAGGAGGTAAGAGGAGATGAGGAACTGGGAAAGGATTATAAAAACTTGTGATGGGAGAAGGGATTTTCATTTATTTAAGCCTTTGTCAAAATGTGGCATGTTGGGCAGAGTTTGGGATATTGCACTGCCTACTTTTAAGATGCTGGTTCACCAGGAAATGTGTTTCCTGATAGGGTGACCAATTCATACTAGTTTACTCTGAACTGTTCTAGTTTTAAAACTGAAAGTCCCATATCCCAAGATCCTTTCCAGTCCCAGGAAAACCAGGACAGGTGATCACCCTTTCAGGAAACCTACAAAGTTCCCTTTGAGGAGACGGTCTTTTCCACACCCCTCTCTCCATGAGCCTGATACCTCCAAGAAGGCCATAGTTACTAAGAGGGAGGGTGCTGGTCCTGGTAACAAGGGGCATCACCACTCCAAGGAGCTGGACTAAAGCCTTCTGTATTGCTTTTGCAGTGCCCTGGACCTTGCCCATGTGTAACTGTGTCATAGAGATAAAGGAAATTCTGTCAAATTTGTTTACTCTTGGTGGATGATAGTCTCACGAGCATTGCGTCTGGGGGTCCCTCATGACCCAGGTCTCAAAGCACTGCAATTACTGTTGCCCAAAAAGTCCCTTTCCTAACCCCAACCCTACCTTAAGATGTTGTAATCTTAATACAAACAGATCATAATATTAACCCTACCCAACCACATGCTAATCTGAGCATGCTCATAACTCTGAAATTTACCTTAAATCTACCAATAACCACACTGCCCTTAAGCTTTAGGAAACATTAATCATTATCCATAACCTTAAGTCTTAAATTACAGTGACTCAAAACATCAATTTTAAAGTTAAAATACTCTTCTTATGCCTAACTCTTATCTAGTCTGATCCTAGCCTAAGTGTAATAATAACTAGACGGTGACTTAAACTTATCATAAACATTATCCACACACCAACTTAACTTAAATATAACAGCACTCTAATTAGAAATAAACTCTAACTGGACTTTTCTCTGGCAATAAAAATGAAACCTGAATTCCAATATTAATTAGTTCTGCACTCTAACACTAATCCTAAAATATTTCTAATATTTTTAATAAGAGTCCAGGTTTACCCAAACTCTGACTCATCCCTAAATTTATCCCAAATTTACTACTAATTAAAACCAATCCAAATCCTAAAATTTACATAACTTTAATTCAATCCTAAATTTACCTCATTGCTTCTTAATTCTAAACCTAACCCTGGCTCTAAACTAGCCCTAACTCTAGTCTTAGCCATAACTGGAACTCTAATCCTAACTCTATTCTAACCATAACCATAATTCTTTTTTTTTTATTAATTGTACTTTTGATGAAGGTTTATAGAACAAATAGTTTCTCATTAAACAGTTAGTACACATATTGTTTTATGGCATTGGTGAACAACCCCACGACAAGTCAACACTGTCCCTTCTCAAACTTGGGTTCCCTATTATCAACTTTCCTGTCCCCTCCTGCCTTCTAGTCCTTGTCCCTGGACTGTTGTGCCCCATTAGTCTTGTTTTGTTTTATGGGGCTGTCTAATCTTTGGCTGAATGGTGAATGTCGGGAGTGACTTCATTACTGAGCTAAAAGGGTGTCCAGGGGCCATACTCTCAGAGTTTCTCCAGTCTCTGTCAGGCCAGTAAGTCTGGTCTGTTTTTATGAGTTAGAATTTTGTTCTACATTTTTATTCAGCTCTTGATCCTGGTCAGAGCAATCAGTGGTAGTAGCCAGGCCCCATCTCGTTGTACTGGACTCAGCCTGTGGTGAAGGCTGTGGTAGTTGTGGTCCGTTAGTCCTTTGAACTAATCTTTTCCTTGTATCTTGTTTTCTTCATTCTCTCTTGCTCCCGAAGGGGGTGAGACCAGTGGAGTATCTTAGATGGCTGCTCACAGGCTTTTAAGACCCCAGATGCTACCCACCAAGGTAGAATGTAGAACATTTTTCTTTATAAACTGTGTTATGCCAGTTGAACTAGATGTTTCCCGAGACCATGCATAACCATAATTCTGACCATTTCCTAACCTCTATCCTATACCTGGACTAACCTAACCTTAACCAAATCCTAACTGTTGGGATTTTAGGAATGAACTTGTGTATGTCCTCGTGCTGTTCATTTCCCTGAGCGATACAAGGGAGGGGTGTCTGCCTCTTCAGATCCACTCCCATTCTTTGGCATGAGCAGGTTCTGAAGATGCTCTCCTGGTGTGAGATCAAGGAGAGCAGGAGCAGACTCACTGGCCAAGAACCCTAAAAAGAACAAGAATCTAGGAACATTTGGAGCCAGTACCACTCTAACCTATGTTTCTGGGGATCAACCTGCTTATAAGTACAGGTGGCCAATAAACCTTCTGTTACTTCACTGGGTAACATTTAGGAACTTTTATGTTTTGAACATTGGGGAACCTAAGGCAGTTCAATAGCAACATTAACCTGGTCTTGGTACTGGTTCTAGGTCTAGCCACTTCTGCCTGCCTTGTGTATGCTTCTTTCCTCCTCCTTTGTAGTCCCCTAATGAGGAGAGACACACACCAGCGGAACATCCATCTTTAGCCACAGTGCCAGAGGCCTGAAAGAGTGTGCTCCTCATTTCTACACAGTCAGTCCTAACCACACCCCCCAGACCTTTCATGAGTGCCCCCGCCCTGAACAGCAGAATCGGCTCCAGGTCCTTCTGAGGGCCTCCTTTACTTCCTTGTTATGGAGGCTGTAGGTGAGTGGATTGAGAGCTGGAATGACACGGGTGTAGAACACAGATGCCATCTTGTCAGTGTCCAGGGCATAGCTGGAGCTGGGACGCAGGTACATGAAAATGAGTGTCCCATACAGCATAGTCACAGCCGTGAGGTGGGAGCCACAGGTAGAGGCTGCTCGTCGGAGGCCCTCAGCCGAGTGCATGTGGATCACAGCCCCAGTAATGAAGCCGTAGGACACAGCAATAACCAACATTGTGACCATCTGGATGAAACCACAGATGGCAAAGAGGATGAGTTCATTGAGACTAGTGTCATTGCATGAGATGGCCAGCAGTGGAGGGATATCACAGAAGAAGCTGTTGATCTCACGGGAGTGGCAGAAGCTCAGGCGGAAGGTGAAGGTTGTGTGGACAAAGGCACTCACCGCTCCTCCCAGTCCTGATGCTCCTAGCAAGGCCAGGCATAGATGCCGTGACATGGCTGTTGTATAGAGAAGAGGGTTTCCGATGGCCACATAGCGGTCATAGGCCATGGCTGCGAGCAGGCAGCACTCGGCATCAGGCAACCCTGTGAAAACAAACATCTGGAGGGCACAGGCTGCATAAGGGATGGTGGCGTGGGGCAGCAGCAGGTCCACTAGCATCTTGGGGCCGATGGCTGAGGAATAGCAGGCATCCAGCAGGGACAGGTTGGCCAGGAAGAAGTACATAGGTGTGTGGAGCCTGGCATCCACGCGGATCAGCAGCACCATGCCCATATTTCCTAGCCAGCTCACCAGGTAGACAGGCAGGAAGATCAGGAAAAGGGTAATGCACAGGTCCCAGCGATTCGTGATGCCCAGGAGGATGAATTCAGCAGACACAACCCTGGCCCATGTGAGGTTCTCTGGGGTCATCCTACTGGCCAGACACTGAAGGCAGACGAAGCAAGAGGTAGATGAGAGAAAGGTCATGACTTTGTGCTGGTAGTCAGGTAGGCTTGGGTTTCAGTCTTACCTGTGCCACAAAATTACTGAATGACCTTGGACAAGCCCCTTAACATCTCAAAATCTTAGCTTCTAACTGCAAAATGATTAGAATTTAATCTTTGTAAGGGCAGGAGTCTTGTCTGTCTTATTTACTATTGTATCCACAGTATGGAGGACTTTGCCTGACAAGTAGTAGGTGCTCAATAAGTATTTGTTGAGTGAATGAATGATGAATAGGATGATATTTCATGTCTGGCCAAAGATTAATAATTCCACAACTCTATATGCATTCTCCTCTTCAGTTTCCTGGGGGAGGAAAAGAGACTCAGTGGAATGAGCAGAAAGTAACTCTTCAATCCACAGGGTAACTAGCTATGGGTCTTGAAGTTTGCTGGGAGGACACCTTCCCATTGGAGTAAGACCTGGAAAAGGAGAATGCAGGAGTGGCCTGGTGTTTTGGGGAGAGAGTGAGGAGTGGAAAGAACATATGATTTGAATGTCTTCCTGGGCCAGATTCTTCACCTCTCTCAATTTTCTCATCTGTATAATAGGAATAAAAAGCTTGCAGCTTTTTTTTTTTTTTTCTTTTTGCAAGGATTCAATGATATAATGTATGTAAAGCATTTCATAAAGGACTGGGCACACAACAGGCATTTAACAAAAGTCTAATGAATTGAACTAGATGCCTTGCCTCAAAACTGGAAGGAAACAATTTTAAGGCAGTCAAGAGTAGTGTAATTCCCAGGAAATGCAATATTTCTTCATATTCCCTCTGCTTAGAACTTGCTTCTTCTTTCCGTGTCTGCTGGATGCTGTCTCCAATGTGCAGCATTCCTGATCTACCTAAAGAAAACTTAACATTTCCTTGTTTATACCCTACTTTTGGAGCCCTGGTGGCACAGTGGTTAAGAGCTTGGCTGCTAACTAAAAGTTCAGCAGTTCGAATCCACCAGATGCTCCTTGGAAACCCTATGGGGCAGTTCTACTCTGTCCTACAGGATCACTATGAGTCGGAACTGACTTGATGGCAGAGGGTTTGGTTTGGTTTTTTGGTACTAAAGCATGTATCTATTACGACAGCTCGCCATTCTATTGCAATTTTTTTTTAATGTATCTATTTCCTTTGAAAGGAGCCCTGGTGGTGCAGTGGTTAAAGCTCTCAGCTGCTAACTGAAAGATTAACGGTTCGAACCCACCAGTTGCTCTGCAGGAGAAAGACGTGGCAGCCTGCTTTCTGTAAAGATTACAGCCTCGGAAACCCTATGGACCAGTTCTACTCTGTCCTGTAGGGTTGCTGGGTAGGAATTTGGCTCAAAGGCAGTGGGTTTAGTTTGGGTTTTTTATCTCCTTTGTGGCCTTTGAACTCTTTGATTCAACAAACATATATTGAGTATTACCCTGTGCTAAGAACAGTCCTGCAATTCATTTTTGTATCTAAAGGGCCTGGTATGTATGTAATCAGTGCTCAATAAAAGTTAGTGGAATGTATGAAACAGTGAAAAGAGTATGGACTTTAGCCCATAGCATACCCACTTCCTAGTGTATAACTTGGAGCAAATCACTTCACTTCTCCCAGCTTCAGTTTTCTCACTGTAAAGTAAGAATCATAACATATGAGTTGGGGGCTTCCAAGAGGCAATAGGTGTGCAGTATAGGACCTGCGGCTGAGTAGGTGCTCTTTCCCCTTCCTTTAAGAGACGCTTGGGTGTTTTGCAACATACCTTTGCCTGATGAGGATGACAAAGATCTTCCTACAAAGCACAGCTTGGTTGAAGGAATTTGAGGATATCGCATGTTGGTGGGAATGTAAATCAGGACAGTTGGAGAACAATTTGGCAGTTAACTACTCAAAACTGTGCAAACCCTGGTAATTCTACTTCTTGGTGTTTACCTCTGAAGACTCTTACACATATACACAAGGAGACGTACACAAGGGTGTATACTCCTGGACTGTTTGTCATAGAAACATTAGCCAAAATAAGTGTTTAAGAATAGGCTCATGGCACTTAAACAGAATGGATTCAACCTATATATATAAATATGGAGAAATCTCAAAAACATATTGAGATAAAAAAGCAATTTGCAGAAAAATATATAGATTAATGAAAAAAAAACTCAAAACAATGATGTATGTTTTCTGTGTGTATGTATGTATATAAAACATATTGCGGGTTGCTCCAATCAGGGATGAGGGTCCCAGCTAAAGGGCCCCAGGGCATCTCAGAGGGTCTCATCACCTCTCCCCTCTCCCCATAATCCTTCCTATTTTTTAAGACTCAGCTCAGGCGTCATCTTTCCCAGGAAGCCTTATCTGAACACCCTATCCCTCAACATTTTATGTTGGAATTTCGCTCTCTTGGCTCTCTGCATAATAGCCCCACTATTTTGTTTTATAATTATCTGTCTAAGAGTTTGTCTTCTGTCATCTAATTGAGCAGCATGAAGTCTGTATTATGTCTAATTCATCCACATATTCTTAAGGATAAAGAATTTTAGGTATCTTCTCCTTTTCCTTGATAAGGTCACTGGTGGAGGTCATATGGCCTCTAGGGGTAGAGGAAACAGTGGGATCCCCCCAACTACATGTTCTCTATGAATATAGTCCCTGGCCAGCTGCAGTACTGTATCCAGAACCCAGTTGGTGGCCAATCCCTTGTGTGTCTCAGTCTTTCCACGTGGAAAACAAACACCACTCACCTTCACAAAGTGAGGAGCAGAGCTGCTTCGATGGCCTCTCCATTTCTCCATCTGTAAAATGGGAACAATGAGACTTTAGGGCTTTTAAGATGCTTTGAAATTTTGGGTGCAAGGGTCCCAAAACTTTCATTAAGTAGGTGTTATGAAATGTGTGTGTGTATGTGTGAGCAAAACATACAGTTAATTTTCCATTAAATTCTCTCTCTTGCCTCACTATTCATGAGAAGCAATCTTGACATTCTGGGGTTGGGGTGTCTAGTTCAGTGCAGGCCTTACCACTGAGACTTCCAGGACTCAAGTTTTCAGAGGAACAGCTTCTGAATTCTCTCTTCAGTGCTAATCAGCACTAGACAGGAACTGGAAGAATGAAATTTCCTGGACTTTCAGGCTCCTGGCTCCATTTAGCCTAAAATTGATTGTAGTCTATTGTCTTTCCTAATCCTTCTAACATCTCTGTTTCTGTCTGACTTCTACCTTCATCTTTCAGCCTCTGAGGTTAAAGTCTCTGAAGTCTGTTTGTCTGTCTATCATTTATTTATCTATGTATGGCTCTACAATCTATCCATATATTAACCTCTAATCTATCCAACAAATATTTGTTAACCACCTACTCTACTGCATGGTTTAAAATCAGGAAAGGTGTGCATCATGGTTGAATCCTGTCACCATATTTATTCAGTCTGTGTACAGAGCAAATAATCCAAGAAGCTGGACTATGAGAAGAAGAACATGGCATCAGGATTGAAGGAAGACTAACAGCCATTGATATGCAGATAACACAACTTTGCTTACTGAAAGGTAAGAGGACTTGAAGCACTTGTTGATGAAGATCAAAGACTACAGCCTTCATTATGAATTACACTTCAACATAAAGAAAACAAAAATCCTCACAACTGGACCAATAAGCAACATCATGATAAACGGAGAAAAGATTGACGTTGTCAAGGATTTCATTTTACTTGATTCCACAGTCAACACCCATGGAAGCAGCAGTCAAGAAATCAAAGGACATAAATCTGCTGAAAAAGACCTCTTCAAAGTGTTAAAAAGCAAAGATGTCACTTCAAGGACTAAGGTGCACTTGACCCAAGCCATGGTATTTTCAGTTGCCTCATATGCATGTGAAAGCTGGATGATGAATAAGGAAGAACAAATAAGAATTGATGTCTTTGAATTGTGGTGTTGGCGAAGAATATTGAATATACCATGGACTGCCAGAAGAATGAACAAATCTGTCTTGGAAGAAGTATGCTAGAATGCTCCTTAGAAGGGAGGATGGCAAGACTTCGTCTCATGTACTTTGGACATGTTATCAGAAAGTAGAGGGTCATTGAGAGAGAGAAAGACCCACAGTGAGAAGGATTGACACAATGTCTGCAACAATGGGCTCAAACAGCAACAGTTGTTAGGATGGCACAGGACCAGGTAGTGTTTCTTTCTGTTGTACATAGGGCTGCTGTGAGTCAGAACCGACTCCGTGGCACCTAACAATAATGACATGTGACAGGCACTGTATGAGCATAGAGCTATAGATGTGAGTATGACAGATTTGTCCCTGCTCTCATGGAGCTTTCAGGCTGGTGGGAGGAGAGAGCTTTTAATCAAATAATCACACATATATAATTACAAACTGATGTGTATGTGATCTGAAGGAGAGGGGCATGTTTCTCTTTCTCCCCAGTTTACAGGGTGGCTTATACTCTATGCATTTTGCATGCATGATTTCATTTCAGACTTATCAGACCCTTATTAGGTGGATACTTTTATATCTATTTCATAGATGAAGAAATCACGGCCTAGAGAAGGGTCTTTAACTTGTGAGGGTGACTCCATTTCCACCCTCTTCCTTCCTAGTCATAGGGCCACTCGTGAGTTGTGCCTCAGTAGTATCTATTGTGCCAGTCCACTTCTCTTCATGAACTGTCATGGTCCCAGTCCAAGCTTCATTAATGGGATTATGTATGAAATTTTCAGCTAGTCTCCATGCCTACCACATCTTCCCCTCTCCGCTCTGCTTCTTTTTTTTTTCTTTTTGAATGTTTTCCACTCTGTTTCTTTTTATTTTCTTTTTAAGTGTTTTCCACTCTGTTTCTTAAATCCTAGCCTAAGCATTTTACTCCTACTATGCATCAGATAAGGAGCCCAGGTGGCGCAGTAGTTAATGCACTTAGCTGCTAATGGAAAGGTCAGCAGTTCAAACCCACCAGCTGCTCAGAGGGAGAAGGATGTATGTGGCAGTCTGTTTCTGGAGTCACTATGAGTAAGAATTGATTCTTCGACA